CGTGAACCGTGGTCAACTACGTGGGAGTCCAGCGACATAGCCATTACGCTAACTGCTGGTTCCCTTCACCATGAGCTTTTAACGGATTTGTATAACAGTTCAAAGTAAGAGAAAACTGAAGTGTTTGGGGATTATATCAAAACTCAACTGTAGCCAAAACAATCTGATTAAAGAGGAATGATCTTGACTTTTCCTTTCTAGGTCAATCTCATTAAATTACCCACAAGTTACCTTTTGTACTATGCTATTTGCATTTCCAGACCTTTTGATATCCCCATTGACTATCCCATACCACCTGCCATACAGGTTGCAAATAATTAATTATATGTATTTGAAAGTGTGTTTTAAGGCACAGCCTTTTTTGCTTTGAGTGGCAATGCTGAGCTCACATGAAGAACATATCTCAGTTCAGTTTCCATGGAAAACAATTCCAGCCAGAGTTCTAAAGGGAATGGAAGGACCTCTTTTCTGTCTAATACCTTGCACCAAGCTTTTAAACAAAGGCAGTGACATGGACTAGGCACCTCCAGAGTTTTGTAGGAGATAAAGTTATAGGGAGGTCCTTGACCTCTTACTGAGCAGGAAGTTTATTATCTTCCTTTAAATAAATAGACAACTTATACTTTGCTGACAGCTCATACTGGTTATGATGGTTTCCTGCGTGAGGAAAGTCACAACGCAAGAGACCACCAGAATAGCAATGATCGAAAGGAAATGTGATAATGACCTAGAATAGTCTTATCTGCTGCTTGAGCCTCATAATGCATCAGAAATGTGCTCTTGTAGCAAATTCTGTAATGTCTTTTAAGCATAGTTGCTGAGAAGTCAGTTTTCCCACCTATTTTCTTAACAGGGGCCAAAGATTATAGAAAATTATTTGAGAAGCAGAAAAGATATTTATACTTTGCCTTAAAGTTTTATTTAAAAACCAAACAAGTAATTTCTCATAGATTATTAAAATATTCTATTAGACCATAAAATAGTTTACACACATACACACGCCCATACTCATACACCTGCTACCTTTGTTATCCCCCAAAGTTTTTTCTGGAGTTGGTCAACTCATAAAAATACTATGCCCCCTACGTGTTGCACATAATTACATAGATAATAAGCCCTGTCTGCAAGCTGACAAATGAATGAGGGAAACTGATTTAAAAGAAAGCAGGCAAGGAAAAACACTTGTACCTACAAGCTCAGGTAAGAATACTGAGCCTTTGAGGAGTTTTTCAACTTTCCCAGAGAAAGCTAGCTAGTAAGAGTAGGGTCAGACTAGAAAACAAGAGCTAGCTCACTGCAGAGTCCCAGCTCTAACTCAATACTCTCACTTGCTTCATCAAATACCTGTCTGATGCCTTCATCAATACCTTTGGCTGATGCCTTCAGCCAAAGCAAAGTCCTGCCCTTTAGGAATGTGGAAAAGATATTTTAGTCAGCTCAGGCTCTACAGTGAAATACCATAGACTAAGTAGCTTAAACAGCAGACTTTAGATTTTAATAGTTCTGGAGGCTATAAAGTCCAAGACACTGGCAAGATCCGTTCCCAGTGAAAGTTATCTTCCTGGTTTGCACATGGTCACTTTTTCTCCATGTCCTTTCATGGACAGATGGAGACAGAAAGAGAGAATACATTCTGGTCTCTTATCCTCTTCTTATAAGGACACTAATCCCATCATGAAGGCCCCACCCTCATGGCTTCATCTAAACCTAATCACATCCCAAAGGTCCCATCTCCAACTACCATCTCATCCGGTGTAGGGCTTCAAAATATGCATCAGGGGAAACACGAACACTCAGGCCAAAATGGAAGTTCTTATCGTGGTTTTTAGCCTTCTGAGTCAAAGGCTAATGGGGGAAAGAGCCAGGCCAGGATAAAGTAGCTGTGGTTGAGAAAAAAACCTCACATCCTCTGCTGAATATTTACTGCTCTACATTTTGAGTGCTGAGTTGACATGGATTTAATGACAATTTAGGTGAATTCTATTTAAATAAAAAATCTAAACTTTCAAGTCCCAAGGTGAAACCACACGATCACTGTAATGTGTGTGTGTGTGTGAAGGAGACAAGATCTCTCTGATGTAAGTTAGCAAGGCACGTGCCTTCCACAAAACTGCAGAAGGGGTGGAATCCTAGACAGTAATAAAGAAGGCACGTCTTTACTGTGCACGGTCCTCCCCTGGAGTTAAGTCCTGTTTTGGGGAATTAACTTCTGATGAGGAAACAGGCATGGGGTGGTTAGATGACTTGCCAGACTGGAATTATAATGTAACACTCAGGAACATCCCTAGAGACAGCAATTTCTGACCAGCAGATGCCTTCCTTAGCACAACTGTACATAAACATCAGCTGGACTGTGATGATGGTAGGCTGCTGACTTCAAAGAGGTGCATTGGGGTACCTCTTCAGAAATAAGCATTAATGGGTCAACTCAATGGCACAGCAGTAATGTATTTATTGTCATATATTTTACTTATAGGTGTGTGTTACAGACCCCATAATATATTGCTATCAGTTTTGCCTTAAAAATGTTGTGACAATGCTCAAGGAATGAATGTAAATTAATTAATTAATTTAAAATGTTTCAGAAGAAAATTACAGTGCACTTGTAACTAGATTCTAACTTTGTCCATCGTTTTAGTTTAAGGTATTTTGTGAATCAATAAAATGTGGGGGAAAAAAAGTAATAACAATTATTATTAAATTAAAGTAAATTTTAAAAGGATTCACCAATAAATAAATAAATAAATAAGCCATCCTGTAAATTATTTGAAATATTGGGGAAAAATATTTTACATTGAACCACTTAATGACCATGCTTAGCTTCTTTGTTTTCTGATGTGGTGCCAGATTTATATCTGATATCGTTTTTTTTCCTCTGACCAATTTCCTTTAACATTTTATATTGCACTTTAGCTAGTCATGATTTCTTTCAGCTTTTTTGGGGGGGAGGGGCAGAGGTTTTTGCTATAGGGCGCGTGCACTCACCAGACAGAGAGGGACAGAGAGACAGAAAGCGAGAAATCACCCCCCAGAGGGGATGGTCACGCCGCAATCCCTTCTCCTCCATTCTCCTCTCAGGATCTTGGGCATGCACGCACACGCACCTGGTGTGAGTTTAAACCACCAGGTCCGGGACACGAACTACGGTCGACTACATGGGAGTCCAGCGACATAGCCATTACGCTAATGGCTGGTCCCTCTTTCAGCTTTTCTATGCCTGAAAAGTTCTTTAACTTTCCTTTGTTTTTGAAAGATGTCACTAGATATAGAATTGTAGGTTGTCATATTTTTGTTTTGGTACTTAAACAGATTGTTTCACCATCTTCTGGCTTGTATTATTTCTAATAAGAGATTTGTTGTCACTGTTATCTTTGTCCCTCTCTCTATAATGTCTTTTCTCTTTAACTTCTTTTAATATATTTTAGTTATCACTGGTTTTAAGTAATTTTATTATGATATGTAGCTTTCTTCATGTTGCTTTTGCTAGGGTCCTTTGAGTTCTTGCATCTGAGGGTTTATACTTTTTATCAAATTTGGAAAATTTTGGCCATAATTTTTTTAAATACACTTCTTTCTCTTTTCCCCTTCCAAAATCTCCAATTCCATAAATATGAAGGTCCCCTAGGTTGTACCAGAACTCACTGTCTAATGGAAGAAATAAATAAAAAATACACTTTAAAAAAAAAAAGTAGAACAACAGCAAGTATAAAAAGAAAAAAATTTTTTTCCATCCTTATTGTAGTAGTATTTATATGTCTGTCAGTTTTCCATTATTTTGAATTCTCTATTTGATTTTGAGCATTTCAGCATCTGGCTTGCTAGCTAAATTTCCCTCTGCCCCAACATGAAGCACAGTAGGTGTTCTCTGAATATTTATTGAATGGCTGTGAACTCCTAGGCTAAATGTCATTAAAAGCTCTAATTCAGGTCCAGTACAGTCCAGAAGTATAAAATTAAGGCTTGTTTGAAACCACCTTCTGAGCAAACTCTAAATTCCTTTTCATATTATAGTTAGAACTTCATGAATTGGCCCCAGCCATCCTATTATACCTGATTAACCCCCACCACTCCCACAGTCTAGCTCCCAAGGTCCAATGCCACCAACCTCTGTCATTCTGAGAACCAACCAGGCCCCATTACAAATCCAAGACTTACATTTGATATTTCCTCTTATTGAAATGCCCTTTCCTCTTAAACGTGGCAAACTCTTACTGCATCTTCAGAACACCAGCTTAAATGACTCTTCCTCATGGACACCTCTCAGACTCCCGAAGGCAGCATCACTGGCCTCCTTCTCTGGACTCCCTCAGTACCCTGCCTCAGACTGATTAAGAGGTCTGACTTTAGATTCATGCTAAGGACTGAGCTAAATGTCCCACTTTAGCCCTTACAACCTGTAAGAACTTGGGCAAGTTATGTGACCTCTCTGAACTTCAGTTTCATCTGCTAACTAGCACCAATAGCAATTACCCCTGAGGGTTACAATGAGAATAGTTTAATTAGATTATTGTAGTTCTTGCTCTAGAAATGGTAGACATGGCCCAGCTGCTGAGGCAAAATGGTAACACAGTACCCTGCAGGGCTGGAAGCCACATGGTCAGCAGCAGGTTTGGATCCCTGGATTGATCTGAAGCCATGCCAAATATGCATGCACGCGTCCAAGATCCTGAAGCCTGGAGATCTGAAGAAAGGGGATACAGGATGCAATCTCCCCACCCCCCATGCATGTACATATCCTCTCTGTCATTTAAAAATAAAAAAGAAAAAGAAAGAATGGTTGACCGAGTAATGCCTTGTATTAACAGCACCTGTGCACATCGAGATTCACCTATTTTCACTTCTGCCTCCCCTATGACACCTTGGATGATACCAACGGGATATTCAATTATTTTTTTATCCCTGGAAACTGGTGCACTAACTGCTCGCAGTGGGTGCCTAATGATTTTTGCACAGTGCTGTGTGCCATTGTGAATGAATGAAACCAAGCTGTCTGTCTCTAGAGTGCCCAGGAGGAGCGGGATCCCCCTGCAGTGGCAGGGGCAGTTGTGCTGAAGGCATGGAAGGAAATGGAAGCTGCTCCTGCCAAGTAAGTTCAGAAATGGGTTCTCCCTCTCCCTGGGTCTGTTCTGTACTTCCTCGCTGTTGAGTGTCCCTAAACACACATATTAGTAGTATCTCTAAGAGGCAGCAGTGTTCATAAAGAGAGCGTGCAATCTGCAACATAATGGCCTCATTGAGGCTGAGGACCTTTCAAGGAGACAATTAACAGCCTAGCCCTAAGCATACCCATCTGCACATTGAGTTTAAATAATACTTAGGTAATAGCATTGGTTGAAAAAGGAAAATGAGGTCACATATGGGGAAATACTTTGTGAAACTGTATATGTACCCACTATAACACAAAAACAACAAAGAATAAAGGAAGAAACAGAAGTAGGGAGCTCCAGGAAAGTCACAGAGTGAAGTTACATTTGAGAAACACTGACCAAACTACCAACGAAAAATCCAGGGGCTTCTTCAGTAACATGGGTCACCTTGGGTCTAATGTCAGCCACTTGGGGTGTTTTGCAGGAAGGGTTTGGTGGAACAGCCTGTGAGACCTGTGCTGATGACAACTTATTTGGGCCCAACTGCTCAGCAGGTATGTCTTGCTTTTGTGTTATCCATGCACACAGTCCCTAGAGGATCTGTTCCTCGAAGGAAAAACACGGAACAGTTATATATAGCCAAGTATACATAGGAAGAACAGAAAGAACAGAAAGCTGATAAAAGGCAATCATTGAAAAGAAACAGCATTTTCCGAGGCTGGCAACACTTACAGCAAGATGCCCGCCAGTACTGCTCTCTAGCATTCTTGGGGGCACACGATTTTCTTTCCCCAGGTTTTGAGATCTCACAACTGTCTGCTCCTTACCTGAACAGCTTCTCCCTAAGGTCTTTCTGCAACATGGTCTCACCATAGGTTCAGGAGCTTCTAATTCTACCGTAGGTCCCACTGATTCTAATTTCCCCCTTACTTTTGGGAATTCTTAGCTAAATGTCTGAGGTGGTCAGTGATCATTGGCTTCACATCAAACAAAGAAGCCTGCGACTGCCAGTCTACACTCTTATTTTTGGCTGCTCCCAGAAGTAGAGCTGAGACAAGGATTTGAGTGTAAGTTATTTACTTGGAAGGTGAGCCCAGGGAACACTACGGGTGTAAGAAAGTGACACGGGGGAGATAAAGGGTGTATTGGTAAGTGAGGTACCACCATGGAGGACTGGAGTCTAATCCTCTGGGAAGCTCTGGGAGTCAGCGTAGAGCACACATCTCAGATTATCTCACCGGAGGGAAGAAAGAGCCATAATGTGGTAGCCAGAATCATGGCTCCTGGCAACATGCAAACATTCTAGTCCCCAGGGTCTGGAATATGTTACCATAGGTGGAAAGGGGAATTAAAGTAGAAGATAAAATTAAGGTCGCTAATCAGCTGACCTTAAAACAAAAGATTGTCCTGTATTATCTGGATGCACCCAAAGTAATCACAAGAGTGCTTAAAGGTGGGAAAGGGAGGCAGAAGTCAGTGTTGGAGTGATGAGATTTGAGGAAGACTCAACCAGGCTTCACTGGCTTTGGGGATGGGTGGGGCCCACAGGCCAATGAATGTGAGCAGCCTCTAAAGCTAGAAAGACAAGTAAACCCGAATTTTCCTTAAAGCCTCCAAAAAGAAGCACAACCCTGCTGTTTTAGACTGTTGCTATAACTGACTCAAAAGTATGGTTTCCAGAGGCAACATGTGGAAATGCTTAGAGCCCAGGTGTTAGACTGGGCCTTAGTGCCAAGGCTGCTTATTATGAAAAATTGGATAAGTTTTGGGCCAGCAGATGGTGTAGCAGTAATGTCACTGGACTCCCCACATGGCCAACCATAGTTCAAGTCCTGGACCCGGTGGCTTGAAATACACATGCTGGACACATGTGTGTACAGGTCCAAGATCCAGAGAGGAGAACAGAGGAGAA